CAGTGACAGAGCCAATGACAACACCTGAACCAACGACAACGACAACAGAGGTACCTACGACCGAGCCGCCAACAACACCACCGACCACTGCGGCTACAACCGACGCCCCTACAACCGAGCTGCCTACAACCCCACCGACCACTGAGGCTACAACCAACGCCCCTACAACCGAGCCGCCTACAATCCCACCGACCACTCCGTCTGGACCAACTCTGCCAGAAGTCGCGGACAAAACTTTCTGTGTGTATTTTTGGTCTGTTTGCTACACAGTTTTTACATTTAGAGCTTTACAATGTGTAATGGCATGAATTCTTTAAAACTTTGGCGTGTTTATGCTTGGTCAGTCGTCGATTACGTTATGTAACAATATTAATAGCTTAGGCATTTAAAAAATATATATATAAAATGACCGATCATTTGGATTACTTCGATGTAGAGGGATCTGACATCATTCTCATTTTCTGTTTTATTCCACTTATCAAGCATTGTAGTCTGGTATTTATAGTTCCTTTGAGGGGTTGCAACTTTTTACAATGAGAGTGATCATTGTTAAACTGTGATGGCCAATTTCTCATATTGATTCACAGTAACCGCATGTACACAACGATGTGTCCGCAACGACCTAGTGGATTCACTGTGTGGTACTGGGACGCTGGTCGAGGAATGTGACAATCTTCAAGTTCCAGAGTTTGTGGGATCGTATACCTGCTGTTCAGGTTAATACAGGTAAGCCTTTCATAAATAGGTTGTAATATTTACATAATTTGGAAGCCATCATTCCTTCGCAAGTTGGATGGAACATGTTTCTGTTTCAAAACAGTATCTAGAAATACTTGTATCAATGCATCAGCTCAAATATTCAGACCACTCAAATTGTGTGAAACAAGGAATTATGATGTTTCCTCATAATATGGGTTTTCGAGACCCTAATAAGTATTTCTGATTACGTGACTTGTAACGATCCGAATACATTAAAATTAAACCTTACCTTTGACGACATGGATAGGTCAAATGACCATGTCTTGGTAATTTTATAGTGATATTGCCTCGCTCAGCGATATGAGTCGATCAGGTGAGATCATGTTACCGTCACATGATTTCGAGCCCTTTCATCACAGTCAAGCTAAAAATAGATGCACAACATTATCAGTCTCGTGGTACATACGATTGTTTTGATGCATATATTATCATCAGAACAAGTTTGATGATTTCATTTCTGACTTGTTTCATCAATTCATAAGCGAAACTGTTGGTATAGTGGACATAACTACCATTGTATAGCTATAACTATCATTAACAGTAAAATTAGCTGCTTCTCAATCCGAAGGTTTAATTTGGGAACAATTTCACATTCTCTGGATGTTTACGTTTTTCACATTTCTGGAAACAAATTTTCTTTGTTCTTTGTGGCTATTCAAATATATGTGCAGCAATATACGTCTTGCCCAGAATGTCTATTATAGAAGTAATATATACAAATCTGTTTGTCGTCATCATTGCAGCACAACCCTGAAGCTAGTATAGAATATAATTCAATTTTTTATATTTCAGTGGATGTCTCCACATTTCCACTGGATGCTTCACTCCATCTTTTTTCCGTGATAATAAACTAATTTCGCAGCAATGTGTTTTCTGTCTTCACTTCATGTTGAATAATGTCAAGCTGAACAATCAGCAAACCAATATGGCCTAATGCTTGGAGTACCCAATTTCACATATCACCGAGAACATTTAGTTATGGGAGGTGATGACGTTTCATTAATCAGCATTGAATAGGTGATTTAATGTCATCATTATCAGATGGTGGCCTATTCATGAATATGCCTTCGCTAAAAGAAATCAAAGCGCAATGTTAGATCTTTTGAAAAATTGTCTAACAAATCATTGGTATAAATCATCAACAAATATTCAACCAAGCTGCATGAAGTCTGCACTCTTACAAATCAATCTGATCTCTAATGCACCTTAACGTACCGACAAAGCCCTTTGTCCTGCCTTTACAAAGATACATTTATGTGACAATTGTCCGATACCCAACACCTATTACACGAAAGGTTTGGCCAGTTAAGACTGGGTTTAAATCCGCAGACATACACCTTTTCGGCAGGAATATGGTTCACTTTACATCAATCAGAACAAATGTTCTAACAAACTCATACTTGAATCAAATACTATTGCTCCTTTTCTCGACGGAAAACGGCCCAGCCAGTATAGGAGACATTATTTGTCAACATTTTACTTTAGCCTGAAAAGATTTGTATGGTCGGTTTAAAATAACAAGAACGCAAAATGATGGTTTCTGTAGAAGCTTAACTAGATATGATTTAGCAATAAGACAATTCGATAATAGCCGAAGCCAAGATATGGCAACCACACTTTTATGACACTCTTCACGGTGATATGTGCCAAATTGATCCGGGGTGTCATTAAAACAAGAGTAACGCCATTATCAGAGCGAGGTAACAGCTTCACAGGTGTATGACCAACAGCTAATTGTATTAATGGGTGACAATATAAAGAATCAAATAAACCCAATTTAAACTGACAAAGATCACTGATTACAAATATCACAGCACTCACACAAGCAGCTTAGCTGAGCCACTATATTACAGTAATAAATTGCGAGTAGCCAAAACAACTCTTTCTAAAATTCACAAAAATACAAGACACTTGAAATAAAGTAGAAAAATATGAGAAGGTTGGTTATCCATGGAGTACTAGAAAAACGGAGTATTGAAAACCCTAGCTAATACGTTCAGCTCAATACAATGAGAGGAAATTAATACTAAATAAAAGGTGCCCCATATTCTCTTACTAACGCAACCAGAATGACCATCCAGTAACAAATCGACCCGTAAACGAACTAACAAGGTCTGGGGGTGAACACACAAGATTGTCATAGAGTTTCTATACCAGCTCTCAGGCCTCGTAGGGGATAATCTCTCCTGATCAGCCAGGGAAAATGATAGTCTGGGACACCTAGCCACAATTAGCAAACTGATTACTTCATACATATGGAAGATATACCTGTCAAAATAAAGCGCCGAACACAGGCTGTCTTACTATATCACGAATTTACGTGTACTGGTATGGAACAGGAAATTATACGCTTGTACGAGATTGAAACATATATATGTGTATACATGTAAAAGGGTATCATGACGGCATGTGTGTGCACAAGTATTCATCATGAAAGGATACACGTGTACATGTATGCATCAAAACGTCATATATGTGTACATGTATCTATCATGACTGTATGTGTGTCTACAAGTATGCATCATGACTGTATTTGTACGTACACGTACATATGATGACGTTATACATGTATATATGTGTATATGTACATGTATGTGTCAGAACGGTTTACACGTGTACATGTATGTATGAAGACGATATCTATGTGCAGACGTATATATTATGAAGGTATACCTGTGAAATCGATAGTGTGAACATTTGCCGGAACTTCTTTCCGGTGTTTTCCCGAACTCTCGATCGGTGTTTACAACTAAATCGTTTTTTTATATATAAAATCCCTGCATTTATCAGCAACAAAATTTAGTATTTTGCTTGGTCTTGTAACGTTTTATCTGACTTTATAATATATCAACGCTTTGGTTCTGGTGTTTGATGTCGTCTGCTACATGAAACAAAATGGATTATCCTTACAATGATTTGGATAGGGACTGAGTATCTCTCAATTGCATTTTTAGCGATATTGACTTTGGTGCCTTGTCGGAAAGGACAGTAATCTAGCACTTAGCGGCTTGCGAATGATAAATAATAAAAGGAACCTAGTTTTCAAATAAATAAGACATAAACAGGTAAGGAAAGCGACTTAAATTATAAAAAAAAACTTGTCAACCTATGTTATCGATCGGTCATCGGAGACGAGAAAAATATCCGTAGACTGGATTACTTTTCCGGTTTCTGTGTTGGCCGACCTTTTCCGTGCATTGTAGGCCGAGAATTCGAAGCGGCGGCACATGAAGAAGGACGGGGCAAAGATATGAAGCTAGCATCAGATCATTCAGTAGGTCTTTCTCATGATACATGTGTTCTGATTCAATAAGACAGATACCTCACCTGTCTCATTATACAAAAGCTACGTATACCAAACTTCTGTGTTCCGTTGCAATAAGACACTAACCTTACGTGTGCCCTGATACAATAAGACAGGCACCTGATGTGTCTTCTTACACAATACAACTGTGAATCGTCTCACAAGGAAAGATGTAGCTTTAAAGATTACTGTGAAACTTGGTGTCCGTAAACAGATATCCTTATTTGTGATTGAGTTACATTATAAGGACAGGTGTTTTGTGATCAGAAGCCGTGTCTACAAACCACCCTGTTCATTCAGGAAACTGAAATCACCTCACCTTTGTCTTGATGAAACATAACAAGTACCTTACCTGTGTCCTAATTCAATGTATCACATCTTACAAGAAGAGATATCAATATGAATATTGTCAACATTTACTTTGAACCTCCATCACCGAATAAATAGTTTTCAGTTTCTTTCCAGTCGCTTTCGTATATGTTTCCATTTCTAGGTGATCACATCTGAAGTTAGAAGTCCACATCTCTTGTCAAGACATAGATAAAATTCAGGGTAATTGAGGCTTTACGATAACGATCAATTATTTTACAAGTGGTCTATTGTAACCATGCTCGTGCGTGACTTCAACTATGGCCGGAACAGATATATATAAAGTGGTTTGGTCAGCGCCTATAGAAAAATATAATTATGATTCAGGAAACCTGTTTTAACTATGGCAGGCAAAGTCAATTTCATACATTTCTCACACTTTTGTAACAAAGCAAAGGTTCCCCGACACTCTATCCCAAATAAGTAGTTAATCACTGACGTCAATACATGACTACACAAGGCTAAACGCTTTTCTCACCCCTACTGATCTACAGAAACTGACCATATGTGATAGTAAGGTAACCTAAGTTCGTGCCCAATTACTGCCCTACTGACACGTGATTGCCTCGAAGATGGGCTAGTTTAACGTGTAAAGGATACGACAGGTATTGCAAAAGCTCCAGTTACCTCCGCAGATACTACATTAGATTTATGTGTAAACTGACTGAAAACTTCTATTCTAACTGCTGTCAAGTCGATCCAGTGACAGAGCCAATCACAACACCTGAACCAACGACAACGACAACAGAGGTACCTACGACCGAGCCGCCAACAAAACCACCGACCACTGCGGCTACAACCGACGCCCCTACAACCGAGCTGCCTACAATCCCACCGACCACTCCGTCTGGACCAACTCTGCCAGAAGTCGCGGACAAAACTTTCTGTGTGTATTTTTGGTCTGTTTGCTACACAGACTTTACATTTAGAGCTTTACAATGTGTAATGGCATGAATTCTTTAAAACTTTGGCGTGTTTATGCTTGGTCAGTCGTCGATTACGTTATGTAACAATATTAATAGCTTAGCCATTTAAAAAATATATATATAAAATGACCGATCATTTGGATTACTTCGATGTAGAGGGATCTGACATCATTCTCATTTTCTGTTTTATTCCACTTATCAAGCATTGTAGTCTGGTATTTATAGTTCCTTTGAGGGGTTGCAACTTTTTACAATGAGAGTGATCATTGTTAAACTGTGATGGCCAATTTCTCATATTGATTCACAGTAACCGCATGTACACAACGATGTGTCCGCAACGACCTAGTGGATTCACTGTGTGGTACTGGGACGCTGGTCGAGGAATGTGACAATCTTCAAGTTCCAGAGTTTGTGGGATCGTATACCTGCTGTTCAGGTTAATACAGGTAAGCCTTTCATAAATAGGTTGTAATATTTACATAATTCGGAAGCCATCATTCCTTCTTAAGTTGGATGGAACATGTTTCTGTTTCAAAACAGTATCTAGAAATACTTGTATCAATGCATCAGCTCAAATATTCAGACCACTCAAATTGTGTGAAACAAGGAATTATGATGTTTCCTCATAATATGGGTTTTCGAGACCCTAATAAGTATTTCTGATTACGTGACTTGTAACGATCCGAATACATTAAAATTAAACCTTACCTTTGACGACATGGATAGGTCAAATGACCATGTCTTGGTAATTTTATAGTGATATTGCCTCGCTCAGCGATATGAGTCGATCAGGTGAGATCATGTTACCGTCACATGATTTCGAGCCCTTTCATCACAGTCAAGCTAAAAATAGATGCACAACATTATCAGTCTCGTGGTACATACGATTGTTTTGATGCATATATTATCATCAGAACAAGTTTGATGATTTCATTTCTGACTTGTTTCATCAATTCATATGCGAAACTGTTGGTATAGTGGACATAACAACCATTGTATAGCTATAACTATCATTAACAATAAAATTAGCTGCTTCTCCATCCGAAGGTTTAATTTGGGAACAATTTCACATTCTCTGGATGTTTACGTTTTTCCCATTTCTGGAAACAAATTTTCTTTGTTCTTTGTGGCTATTCAAATATATGTGCAGCAATATACGTCTTGCCCAGAATGTCTATTATAGAAGTAATATATACCAATCTGTTTGTCGTCATCATTGCAGCACAACCCTGAAGCTAGTATAGAATATAATTCAATTTTCTATATTTCAGTGGATGCCTCCACATTTCCACTGGATGCTTCACTCCATCTTTTTTCCGTGATAATAAACTAATTTCGCAGCAATGTGTTTTCTGTCTTCACTTCATGTTGAATAATGTCAAGCTGAACAATCAGCAAACCAATATGGCCTAATGCTTGGAGTACCCAATTTCACATATCACCGAGAACATTTAGTTATGGGAGGTGATGACGTTTCATTAATCAGCATTGAATAGGTGATTTAATGTCATCATTATCAGATGGTGGCCTATTCATGAATATGCCTTCGCTAAAAGATATCAAAGCGCAATGTTAGATCTTTTGAAAAATTGTCTAACAAATCATTGGTATAAATCATCAACAAATATTCAACCAAGCGGCATGAAGTCTGCACTCTTACAAATCAATCTGATCTCTAATGCACCTTAACGTACCGACAAAGCCCTTTGTCCTGCCTTTACAAAGATACATTTATGTGACAATTGTCCGATACCCAACACCTATTACACGAAAGGTTTGGCCAGTTAAGACTGGGTTTAAATCCGCAGACATACACCTTTTCGGCAGAAAAGATCACTGATTACAAATATCACAGCACTCACACAAGCAGCTTAGCTCAGCCACTATATTACAGTAATAAATTGCGAGTAGCCAAAACAACTCTTTCTAAAATTCACAAAAATACAAGACACTTGAAATAAAGTAGAAAAATATGAGAAGGTTGGTTATCCATGGAGTACTAGAAAAACGGAGTATTGAAAACCCTAGCTAATACGTTCAGCTCAATACAATGAGAGGAAATTAATACTAAATAAAAGGTGCCCTATATTCTCTTACTAACGCAACCAGAATGACCATCCAGTAACAAATCGACCCGTAAACGAACTAACAAGGTCTGGGGGTGAACACACAAGATTGTCATAGAGTTTCTATACCAGCTCACAGGCCTCGTAGGGGATAATCTCTCCTGATCAGCCAGGGAAAATGATAGTCTGGGACACCTAGCCACAATTAGCAAACTGATTACTTCATACATATGGAAGATATACCTGTCAAATAAAGCGCCGAACACAGGCTGTCCAACTGTCACGAAAGATTTACAACAATCTATGTGCAAGTATTGAGGGGCCAAAAACGATTATAAATACGTGATGATATCTGTGAGTACATGGATAACCCTAATGAGCAAAAATCAAAGTCACCAAACAAATTCAATACATGATAAAGGCCGCACACATACATGTGATAACATACATCCAGTCAAAACATGGTAAGAGTGAGCCATTAAATTACAAGAGAAATGAAGAGAATGAAATAGTCAGTTGTTGTTTTTTTTGTTAAAAAAAGGATGTTGTCAGTGTTGCAGTGTGAGGTCGGGCGTTGTCTCGTTTGAAAATGATTTAAGCTTACTGCACAATTGTTGTGGTCATACTCTGTGCCCTTGCCACCAGTCGACGATGTAGGTCTGTCCAAAAGACACCTCGAACTGAGCGAATACCTTCAATGAACAATTCTTCACTGTCTGGGCGGATCTCCTACGCAATTCTGGTATTGCCGTAGTTGTGTCTGTGGTGGTTCTGTCACGTAAATGACGTAGCCTTATGAATCTGTCCTGTATTCTGGTAGTTATACGTGGTCGGCCGGATCTGGGAAGTTCGCGTGTGTCTGACAACGGTTCCGCAGTCCTGTAATGGTGCTTGGTGCTACGTGAGAACACCTGGCTACATCTGAAGATGATTCTCCTGTTTGAAGCCGGTTCGTAGCATGATTTTGCTCATCACTTGCTCAGAGAATGTGATGGCATGCAAATGCAAACCAAACGTTTTTGTACAGCCAAACAAGTGATGTTGTAAGTGGTGTTGGTGAGTTTCGGCGCCAGGGTCTCATTATTAATTCTGTATGGATGTCGGCAACACATTTAAGATTTTACTACTTTTGCGTTTCTTTTTTGTCACAGTATAGATACACATTTGTTTCATAACACGTTTAGATCATGAACATGTTAAGACTCTCAAGCCGTTTGGATTTCTAACACAAATCTAAACATACTAAAATAATCATAATTTGTTGGGATGAATGAGATAAAATGAGAGCAGGTGTTAAAAAAATGAACTTTCTCGCATTTTGCAATATGATACTTATCTTAAATTAGAATTGGTTGAGGACATGGATATGTTGTAACTTTTATTTAAGAAATAAACGACGAGTTTGAGTTGTTTATCATACAATAACCATGAGCGGCACATATATTTAATATGTATGTGTCACAACGGTATATATATACTGAACCAAATTAAAAACTTCACAATCCTAAAATTGTATCATTTTGACCATTTATCACTGTGGGCCCTTATTGTGTATTTAAACAGTAATAGCCACGTATTGTCTTCAGATAACACCCGTTTTTGTGCAGATGAATCAATCAAAATCATGTGAACAGCACTTTATTGGCAAAAGTGGTTTTTCACGTGCAACTGGTCACGTGGCCATAATAACGCACGTGTTTTCAGCCAGACTTGTTAGTGGTCATTAACAAAAAAAGAAAAACACAAGAAAACAAAAGTCTTTACGGCCATTTGTCATGCCACGCCTTTCAGATGTGCAACGTGAACGTGCCATCGGCATGTTGCAGACGGGAACGTCCGTAGCTGAAGTCGCAAGGACGATGGGTTGTAGCCGACGGACTGTTTATGATTTACAGACGCGTCTACAGCAAACGGGTACCACCGCTGATCGCCCTCGGCCAGGTCGACCACGTGTGACGTCACATGCAGAGGATCGTCAGATTGTCTTACGTCACCTCCGTAACCGATATTTGACGGCGACATCAACCAGAAATGAACTGTTTAGGGGTAGACTGAGTGCGCAAACTGTTCGGAACCGTCTGAGAACTGCTCACCTTCAAGCACGACGGCCATACTGCGGGCCGATTCTGACTCAATTACACAGACGTCAACGTCAATTGTTGGCACAGCGACACTTATGATGGACTCAGTGAAATTGGAATCAAGTCGTCTTCAGTGATGAATCCCGATTTAATCTTCGATTCGCTGATGGTAGGACGAGGGTGTGGAGGCGCCGTCATGAACGTTACGCCCAGTGTTGTGTACAGGAAGTTGACAGATTTCGAGGCGGAAGTGTCATGGTGTGGGGTGATTTCTGTGGCAGTGCACGTTCCAGGCTCTTGTCATCCGTGGCAACCTCAACGCTGCTGCTTACCGCAACCAGGTACTGGCACTAGAACTCCTGCCTTTTATGGCAGCACATGGACCCGGTTTGATCTTCCAACTCGACAATGCTAGACCCCACACAGCAATTTTGACAAGGAATTTCCTTCAGAATGCGGGAGTCAACGTCATGGACTGGCCGTCAAGGTCTCCAGACCACAATCCCATCGAACACGTCTGGGATGCTCTTGGCAGAAGTCTGCGCACTCTCCAGAAACAACCCCAGAATTTGCAAGATCTTGGCATCATTTTGCAGCAACAATGGCGCCGTTTTCCCAATCATGTGTTCACAAGCATTACAAGGTCCATGCGGAGGCGTTGTGTGGCAGGTGTCAACGCACATGGTGGCCATACACGCTACTGAACTTGTGTGCCATCAGATTCTCGTGCTTGGGGCTTATGATTTAAACTGTTGATGTTATTACCGAATACCATTGGTGCTTGGAACAAATTATAGTTACCAACGTAAATTAAAATCCTTCTTTGGACATTAATCATTAAAAATTACCTTCTCTGATACATTTGTCCGTTGTATATCATATATGGGATTACTTTTGAAAATGTGAAGTTTTTAATTTGACTCAGTTGAAGTATATGACCCCAACGGATATCGTTTTTGTCCGTTTGCTTTATCCTGCAGAGAAACCTACCCATTATATGATAAATATATGTTTCATGACGGTATTACGTGTACTGGTATGGATCATGAAATCATACGCTTGTACGAGATTGAAACATAAGGATATACATGTAAAAAGGTATCATGACGGCATGTGTGTGCACAAGTATTCATCATGAAAGGATACACGTGTACATGTATGCATCAAAACGTCATATATGTGTACTGGTATCTATCATGACTGTATGTGTGTCTACAAGTATGCATCATGACTGTATTTGTACGTACATGTACATATGATGACGTTATACATGTATATATGTGTATATGTATGTGTCAGAACTGTTTACACGTGTACATGTATGTATGAAGACGATATCTATGTGCAGACGTATATATTATGAAGGTATACCTGTGAAATCGATAGTGTGAACATTTGCCGGAACTTCTTTCCGGTGTTTTCCCGAACTCTCGATCGGTGTTTACAACTAAATCGTTTTTTTATATATAAAATCCCTGCATTTATCAGCAACAAAATTTAGTATTTTGCTTGGTCTTGTAACGTTTTATCTGACTTTATAATATATCAACGCTTTGGTTCTGGTGTTTGATGTCGTCTGCTACATGAAACAAAATGGATTATCCTTACAATGATTTGGATAGGGACTGAGTATCTCTCAATTGTATTTTTAGCGATATTGACTTTGGTGCCTTGTCGGAAATGACAGTAATCTAGCACTTAGCGGCTTGCGAATGATAAATAATAAAAGGAACCTAGTTTTCAAATAAATAAGACATAAACAGGTAAGGAAAGCGACTTAAATTATAAAAAAAAACTTGTCAACCTATGTAATCGATCGGTCATCGGAGACGAGAAAAATATCCGTAGACTGGATTACTTTTCCGGTTTCTGTGTTGGCCGACCTTTTCCGTGCATTGTAGGCCGAGAATTCGAAGCGGCGGCACATGAAGAGGGACGGGGCAAAGATATGAAGCTAGCATCAGATCATTCAGTAGGTCTTTCTCATGATACATGTGTTCTGATTCAATAAGACAGATACCTCACCTGTCTCATTATACAAAAGCTACGTATACCCAACTTCTGTGTTCCGTTGCAATAAGACACTCACCTTACGTGTGCCCTGATACAATAAGACAGGCACCTGATGTGTCTTCTGACACAATACAACTGTGAATCGTCTCACAAGGAAAGATGTAGCTTTAAAGATTACTGT